TTTTCATCATTGTTGGGTATTTTACTTTTGGTATCAGAGTAATTAAAGTATGGTTCAAGCCGTCTGGCATCAACTCATAGACGAGGACTTTCAACAGAGTCTTAGTAACCGCGTAATCTATAATGCTCCAGTATTTGGTAACGAATAATACTGAGAGTCCATCAACTCTTGATGCTTTTATTTTTCCCATTTATCTCAATGTCACATACAATTCCTCTTTTTGTAACCATGCTAGTCATCATCTCATTGTCCTCCGTAGAGACATGATGGCTTACAGAATTTAGCACCGGGATCTGTTGCGGATGATCACCTGCAATAAACAGATGTTCAAAGTAGCTATTGACACAGGAGAATACTAGATCCTTCCCATTCCACCATTGGCCCGATTCATCCTTCAGTTTCTTAATTGCATTACGTTTTCTTCTAGCTGGGTCATTTATATTGAAATAACTAGGGTTCTTATAACCATCTTGCAGTCAACCAGACCGTGATTACTATTTCCAAAATAATTCTTCATCACATTCCAAATCATCTAGTGTTGTTTGAAGCCTTTTTCTTTAGGTCAAACACAACACCAAACTTCTCACATCTCTCCAAGGCCTTGATGTCTCATTTCACCATAGTCTTCTCTAGGGCTGTCAATTTGGTTTGGTTTGGTTAACCAAACCATTAAGTATGAAAAACCAAAAACCAAATCAGCAAAAACCAAAACCAATAACCAATAAGGACCTTAATGGTTTTGGTTTTGGTTTTGGATAACCAAAAAACCAACATGTACTCATACACTCATATTTATTTCTATTTCCCTTTTTTTTATTGAATAAATGTCATAATAATGGTAAATGATAAAATGACCATTATAAATTATTGGTTGGCATGCATATCTAAAGAAACAATAAAAAAAAATTCATGATAAATAATTTTATTATTATTATTTGTACATTCTTATAAAAAATAGTATATATGTGGTTCACAATGAATCAAGGAAACATGTTATTGTTTTTCTTATTTTAAATGGATGCCATGGATTGAACAGAAACCCTTTTGAGAGTCTCTTTCAGGTCTGTGTCTTTGATACGAGTTAGGAAGGAAGGAAGTTAGTCTTAGCCATGGTTTTGGGGCTCGTATTTATGTCCCCTGCTGGTTGCTTTTATATAAGTTGTCACCTAATAACATTATACTACAAATGCTCTTACCAACATTTTATCCTTCCAGTAATACATTTAAGACTAATAACATCCACAATGTCAACTTTGGGTAACAATATTAAAAATCAACATCACTCCACCTTATCGGACTCTATATCCACACAAGTCTCATCATTCCCATCAGAATCCTCATCAAAATAAACTTCTTCGACTTGTGACCCAGTAGGACTCGAGATCGGAACATGAGCAGAATGTGAACTTCCACTAGGTTCTGCAGGTGCACTTGCACTTCGAGTTTGAAAAGCTGCAAATACTAGATAACATAAACAATAACTTGTTAGAATATGATTTCATTACAATAACAAATATAAGAATAAACATAAGTTCTTACCATTCTGAAATACAACTTCATCACACTCATCTTCTCCATCAGCCACCAACTCAGAGTTAGAAGATCTTATCCAATCTTCACAGCAAATCAATGCCTCCACAACTTCAGGGGATAAGGAGGTCCTAAACGAATCTAAAACTCGACCTCCTGTACTGAATGCCGACTCAGAAGCAACCGTGGAAATAGGAACAGCGAGAATATCCCTAGCCATCTCAGAAATAATAGGATATTTCATCCCACTTCGCGACCACCATCCCAAGATGTCAAACTTATACTCATCCTCTTCAGAACCCACCATTGCTCGTGTAACCTCCTCATCATCCTCCTCCTCCTCAAGGTACCTATCAAACTCAGATTTGGAACTTTTTCTAGTTCCTTTCCGAATGGCCTCTCTTTTCTTTTTCCTGAAATCATCCCAAAACTTTCCTTTCTTCTTCCCATCCCCACTTCCACTAGGTTCTTGCTCACCTTCTTGAATCACAATAGGAGAACTACTATGAAGTCCGATCCTATGCTTGTAATGGTCAAACAGAGCACGCATTTCATCTTTCACCTCATCGGCCAAAGCTTTCCCCCTACTTTCACCATATACCTTCTTCAAAGCTTCTTCAAGATATTCCATTTTGCGCCTTGGATCTAATATGACTGCCATATAGCACAACCGATTGATCTTGGAATTCTCCCACTCTTCTTCAAACCAATACTTGGCAAGTTTGGACTTGATTCTCTCAGCCATGCAACCCACCTCAAAATCAATACTATCAACCCACTCAGAAATCGTAGTATACATTTCACATATTTCATCAAATAAGAGGTGTAAAGTTACATATGAAGTCCCAGAAACTCGAACAGTCACATCATAGAAGAGCTTCAGGTAACTAATCAACCGTCCGACACTTGACCAATCATCAGAAGTTGGGATACCAAGGCTTTGATTTCCATATTTTTTTTCATTGAGATGTTTCTTGAAATTCTTCTCATTTCTGGCTAATGTCTGAAATGCTTTCTCAAATGGCTTTGCAGATTCCAACATCAGATACGTTGAGTTCCACCTTGTAGCTACATCCAACGAAACAAATTTCTTCGACACTATCTTTTCAAACTCAATGCAATCTTTGAATTTTCTGCTCCTAGTTGGTGTAGATTTAACCCACTTCACAGACTCTCTCACTCGCTCAACAGATATACCAGTTTCTTCAAGCCCATCCTTCACAGCTAAATTAATAATGTGAGCCACACACCTCATCTGCAGATACTTTCCATCCACAATATCTGATCCCAACTCTTTCAACTGTTGCCTCATATGGATAGCAACCACATCATTAACACTAGCATTATCCATTGTGATACAAAAGACCTTCCTAATGCCCCAGTCCACCAAACAACTAGCCAACTGTTTTCCAATTTCATTTCCAGAATGTTTTGTTATCTGAACAAAGTTGATAATTTTCTTATACAGCTTCCAATCCCTACCGATGAAATGTGCAGTAACACACATGTAGTTGAGATTGGACAAAGACGTCCAACAATCAGTTGTGAGAGATACCATCCCCAAACATTTAGCTTTGAAATAATCCTTTAACATATCTCTGTTTTCAAAAAACACCTTGATGCAATCTTCTCTAACAGTTTGTCGGCTAGGCAGCACAAACATAGGAAAAACACGGGACATAAAGCGTTTGAACCCTTCATGTTCAACGTATCTAAATGGCAATTCATCTAGAATTATCATCTCCGCTAAAGCTCTCCTAGCATCAGTCTGATTAAATTGCCAAGAACCAAGAGTGTGTACCTGGCCTTCAAAAGATGACGGAAGCTCGACTACAAGATCACCCCTTGCTATCTTTGCCAAACAATTATCCTTGTGGGTCCGTAGAGTAGATGTCCCGTTAGCTACAAGAGCACTATTGCAGTAGTTGCATCGAGCTTTTTTCACTCCACCCATCTCCAAGTGTGTGAAATGTCTCCAAACATCAGATCTGTCTTTCCTTTTTTTTGATGTTGTCCCCCCACCTTCTGTTTGAGCATTGGGTACTGTGGTGGTACCGGAAGATGGTGCAAAAGTGGAGGAAGACGTTGCAGGAGGTCTAGGTGGAATACTGGTGCTTTTGGAGTGCCCACTTCTAGGACGAGCACCACTAGATGAAACATTTTGTGATAATGGTATCTCACTGTTCCTGCCAATATCAAAAGTGAATTTGTATCAAAATCAACTACATAATCACTTGGCCTAACATCACACACTTGTCCATTTCCTATTGCTTGTTTTGGCTCGTTAGAGTTTCCTTTTGGTCAAAGGAAACCAAAGACAACAACAGAAAGGGACAGAAGAGTACTGATACAACAAAGAGACTTGCTGCTGCAATGCCTCTTTACTCTATACAGAATACACCACGTTTAAACCGAAACCCAGAAAGTTTAATAAGCTACACCAAACTAAATAGTCATCTCCTTCTACTGACTGACATTGCTGCTGAAAATGGTGGTTTGCGGACTCGAACAATTTGGTTTCGAATTCATCAAGTTGCTAATCAAGCAAATGATACACCCCACCCTAATTTTGATTTGATCTAAATATCGCACAGAAATGTAAGTAATACATGCATGTATATGGAATATGACAATATGACATAACATCTCACTTTAAATCCAACTTATTTATTTATTGCTCCCCTGCCCCTGCCCCTGCCCCCGTCACTTTTTGTATTGTTATTCAGCTTATTTTTCACCTTCCAGACCCTGTAAACTGAAACTGAAACTGCCACTGCAGTCTTACTAGGATTTTGCCCACGCATCTACCTGCAACGCAATCTAGGACCAAATAATCTAATATGCAATGCAACCGCACCTTCTCAACAACACAAACTTCCAGACCCAAAAATAAACCGACCGAGAAAATCCCACAAAGAACAATAATTAAACCCAAAAAATTAAACCCAGAAAGGAGATGCAGGGCAGGAATGGAAGGGAAGGCAACTTTCTCAAAGTTATAGAACAAAGGATGAAACCCATAATCCATGCTCTCATCATGTAAGAGCCGAGCCAGTAGAAGGATTAACAATACACGAAAGAAACAAAACAGCAACAGGCAGAGCCAACAAAAACTAGCATCCAGATTCAAGAGTTCCATTGGACTTTCTGTAATTGCACGTTCTCAATTGATCTTGGCAATAAAACCAGAATTACAGTATAAGATTTGTATGACAATGTGAGAGCCAAGAAAGTCAGCATCAACTTAAAACTCACAACCCTAATAGTGTGCTTTCAAAAGATGCACAAAGAAAAACTCTCTACCCCTTCTACTTCCAAACAAATGCAAGCAAGCTATGTGAGGGACTCAATGAGATTCCATTGAACAAAGGCGGCAAGTTCAGAACATAATATGGAGTAGACGAAAAGAAGCTGAAGAGAGGGACTCACTGAGATTCCATTGAACAAAGGCGGCAAGTTCAGAACAGAATATGGAGCCGACGACCCAGTTCTCTCCAATCGACACCGAATCAGCGGCCACAGAGCAGCAACTCAGGTTTTCGCCTTTGCCAAAGATAGCCGGCTTCAGATCAACGAGAAGAAGAGAGGTGCCTCGAAAGGGTTCTAGGGATTTCGAAACGAAGCTGAAGCTGAAGAGAGGTGCCTCGAAGAAGAGTGGTGCCTCGAAAGGGTTCAGAGCAACGAAACAAAGCTGAAGAGAGGTGCCTCGTGCGCCGACGAGAGCATTTTGTTCGATAGGGGTTTAGGGATTTCGAAAGGGTTAGTTCTAGGGATTCAGAGCAACGAAAAGAAAGAGTTGCGGCTGTTGCGCTGCGTTTCGTTCATATTGGTTTCTTATTGGTTTTCTGGTTTTAACCGAATAAAAACCATTAAGTTTCTAAATGGTTTAAAACCGAAAAACCAAAACCATCAGCTTTCTAATTGGTTTGGTTTTGGTTAAAACCAAAAAACCAAAACCAAATGGACAGCCCTAGTCTTCTCGCAGAGGAAATCGGGAATGTTTACACGAATCCAGTAGTCCGGCTCAGTGTTCACTTTACTAAACTTACTAAAGACGTCACCCATTCCAAAATTCCACGCTTCCTCAAATTCCCACTGGCATCCCTTGTGTTTTAACCAATACGGTTCAAACCGGAACAACCATCCCCATTTCACCTCTTCATCCTCCTCACCTAAAGTCTCACATAAGATTGGACGATGATCCAATGTGAATTTTTTCCATATAAGACACCCCGTGAATTATTCCAAAGCTCTCACCATCCCTCATTTGCTAGAAACATATCCAAACACTCCTCAATATAAATTCTCACCCTTCTATTCTTCCACGTGTGCGGGTATCCCATAAAACCAAATCTACAGGTAGTGTCAATGAAGAAAACCAAAAAATGCTCTCATCTCCTCTTTGAACAGTAAATTTCCACCTTTCTTCTCATAGTCTGATAGTATCTTATTGAAATCTCCTCCACAAAGCCAGTGACCCTCCCAATGTGTCGTTAGCTGCCCCAGGAGTTCCCAGGATCGTTCTTTCTCACTTCCTTTTGTCCACCCATAAACCCCCGTAACCCTCCAAGGGCCAATATGCCATCCTCCACTTTTGTATCAATATGATTTTGAGATCGTGAATTTACAGAGACATGCGCTTCTTCGCTCCATCAAGTACTCACTCCTCCCGTGTGTCCCCCATTTGATACATCTATGGGATAGCTCTTACCATTCTTGAAATCATGAGTGTTTCTTATAACCTCATTCTCATCTCACAGTTGTCGTGTTTTCATTAGAAACACGATATGCGGAGAAACTTGTCGCTATAACTACCTCAATAATCTAATTGCTCGTGTGTTTCTCAATCGATGGCAATTGTAACTAATGAGCTTCATTTTACATATTAAGGGGATAGGTTCTCCGCGCCATCAACATTATTTTTTCTTCTTCGTTCCCTTGGGGCTCTTTTGGGTTCCCATTACCACTTCCAGAATTTTCCTAGTGCTTTTCTTACCTTTCTACTATCGTTTTCATTGGTTCAGATTTGCCATTGACTTCTTCTTATTAACCATTGACTCACTCCTACTGTCACTCTAGAAAATGGCCAAGTGTAACCACTTCCTAAAGCGTAGTATAGCGAGTTTGGGTTTTAATGTCAACCTGGGTCCTAGATGTGATGACTACTCAGCGAATTCTTATTATTTAGAGGTGAAACTTTAGTGCAGGTTCAAACAAGCAAACAAGCAAGCAATTAAACGGTTGGTTCAATTCGAGAGAGGTCACCCAGATATGGTTCCCCCTAGACTGCAGTTAAGCCGGATTGTAATTTACCAAGTTCAGTTTTATGATAGTTATACTGCGGAAGGTTCTTAAACGGTCTGAAGTCTCGACTAAAGGTCTCCAGACCCTCTCAATCTGAGTCTCCAGCGGGCAACTAACCTTCACCGGAGTAAACAGATTGAGGCCCTAACGAACCAAACCTCCACTACCGAAGTAAATTCGGTACAGAATAGTGAATTGGCTCCTCGACTAAAGTCACCAATTCACTACCTTCAATTAAGGGTGATCTATCAACCTAGGCATATATTCTCTTTCTAGGTTAAAGCAAAAACAATAGGAATTTGATCAGGATTCAAGCCATTCAAAAAATCAAACCTCAATTGAATATAATCAAATCATAGAATCTGTACTTGGGTTCATACAATCAGACCTAATATACAAATCTATGGCTCTCCACACCCAGATGAATAAGAAAACTACTGCATAGAGAGAGATGGAAAATCTAGCTCAGATGCGGAAACCATACTGTGAAGGATGATAATCTGCTTCTGGCGCTCAATTGGATCTTCTCCAAGCTCAAGCTGGGCTCCAATGGTGATGAAGATCAAGCTAGGGCACTTGGGAACTCTGGTTCGTCACTTTCTCTCTCTAGGAATCGCTCTGTCTCTCTCAAACTCGAAACCCCCACTCCTTTGGCTCAAATCTGCCTAAAAGGCCAACCCTGGGCAAAACACGGTCGAGGTCACGGCCGTGCTTTGCTTTTGCCCGCCCGTGCCCTTGCCACGTGTTAAAAACACAGCCACATCTTGGGGAAAACATGGTCGTGCCTAAAGTTGGACACGACCGTGTTTTGAGTCAGTCCCGCCCGTGTTTTGGGCCACCGCAGGACAATCTTGGGTCAAGCCTCGGCAGTAAAAACACGGTCGTGCTTTGATTTAGGCGAGCCCGTGCTTTGACTCCAGCTCGACCGAATGACTTCCGAATGCCCCGAGACTCGTGCTTAGCCTTTCCTTCGACGTCTGGGACCTGAAATATGATAAAGTAGCACAAGCCGGCGTAAAATAGGCCAAAAATACACGACTACGCCCCGAAAATGGATAAGAACTAGGGGTGCAAACATGTGCAATTACATCGTTATCAAATTCCCCCACACTTAACCGTTTGCTTGTCCCCAAGCAAACCAAGTCAGACACAAGGTAAGCTCAAAACGTTTCAATCAAGCCTCTAGGGCATATCATATCGGCACAAAATACGTGAATCATACTGGCTTTTGATCATTAACATATGGACAACCTCAACGACAACCTAGATAACCACCACATACGACATTCGAATGCAGCAAAGTCGAGCAAAGGAAGAGTCTCCAATCTGTTCACCAACCAACATAGACTTAACTCAACCACTTATTCAAGATAACAGAATTACGACCGAGCAATCTAGGTCCTCACCGGGATAAAGAGTAAAGAGAATATGAGAAAATGAATCGCTCACTCTCGACCAGTGGGGTCAGGACAATTTGATGCGAAAAATGCGCATGCTTATTCTCTCAATCCCTAACGTCTCTTCACCATGAAGGCAGCCTCTAAATGCTAGAGTTCACATATGGGGTGTCACCACTAACTAATCCGGAGGTCTTAGACACAGGTTCAGATGACAGGCTAGGGTCTTGGACATGGGGAAAGGCCTTTTAGGTGGTGGAAGTATTCATAGCACAAGGTTCCACAATTCCAAACCCAACACACTCACACAGTCAATCAAACCACTCTTTCTTTCTGCCATTCTTCATTACTCACTTTCTTTAGAACACAAGAGCGAAGGAGGTCACATAAAACGTAGTATTTCCAAGCCACACTGCTAAGAAACACTACTCAATGGGTGCTATTCAGATTTTGTGGTGGTGGCTCTCTTTTGCTTTCATTCACTTTTTTTTTCCTCTTGAGAGAACCACCACCTATGCACATTTTTGCAAACACATTCCCTTTTTATTTTTTTCAAGAACTACCTCCAACTCTCACATTATAATTAGCAGAAACAGCAGAGAACATGGAGAAACCACTCTGTGGAACCTTCTAAAAGATGCAAAGGGGCATTTTCCATTGTAGACCGAAAGAAAGGGTAGCACACGGCTCAAAGGGCTGACTAGTGGGTATGACACATCAGGACAGTCAATTTGGTCTTGGGATAATCCTACGCCTCCATCATCTTAGCTAATGACAACGTGAATGCTGCACATCATGGAAGAGGGAACTATCGCACAAGAAAGAAACGAGCAGGCTCAAGTCTCACATGGCTACCTATATGCTCTATCTCTCATTCTGATTCCCTGAACTAGATGCATAAATGACTGTCAAGAGCAAGTGATTAATCCAAGTCACAGTTGGTAAGCAAACAGTTGAAAAACTGAACCCCTACACAGTTCTACTGCACATCTCAGTCATCATAATAAGCTTCTTAGTCACACTCAAGTTGTCATGCATTAAGTCAAAAGCAATTCAATTCACCACTCACATCCACATTGCCAATACGATCAAACATCAAGCAAACAGCAGTACTTGGAGCTCTCAAATCTCGAGATTTGGACAGCGGACTAGGCTCCAAGCACACATATATACGTTCCAATTAATACAACCCCCCCCCCCCCCCCCCACCCACCCCACACACACACTTAAATGCGACAGTGTCCTCAATGGAGCAAAGGGAAGGGGAACGATGTTACCGTGAAATGAGATCAGGAACGGGGACTGGGAGGCAGACCAATCAATAGTAGGGGACTAGAAGGGGAACCAGTCCAAGGCACAGAGCTAAAGTCAACAAAAGACACACACTGGGTGAAAGAACCGGAGTTAGCAAGTCTACAATCCAAAATAAAATAAAATAAAAACAAAACAAAACGAAAGAACAAAAACATGGAGTCTCAGTCTGGAAAAGAAATGAAGTGCAGGACCGATAGGGCAAAAGCGTAATGCTTCAATTCCTATCTTGTAGTAAAACCGGAAAGTCCGGATATCGTCTCTCAGGGATTGGTACAACCTTATGTTCTCTCGATTTTATGAGCAAACTATATGTGAAAATGGTTCGAGAGATAAACTATTATCTAAGAACAAAGTAATTAAACAAAACAAGCAAATGGAAAATGTCTGGAGAAATTCAATGGGAGAAAGCTCTGGGAGAAACATCGGGACTCGCTACCTATCATATCCAAATTAATTCACATATTCCAATCAATTTAATCCAACTCTCTACAGCCAGGATATTACGAATGTGCTAGCTATCCCTGTCGGGAATTACTACGTACTAAACAATTAAATCAAATCCTACTGTCATAGCTCAATGACTTAATTATTTAGCCCGAAGATCGATATCCTATTTAAGACCGCATAGCATCTTATTTAATCCACTGTCGCTTCGATAAGTTAGTATGTCACATGAAATATGTTCAGTCATTAGGGTTTCACTGTCGCTAATAGCCTAATTAACTACAAGGTGGCCAGTCAACACAAAACATTAAGTAATTCCATGTGATAGAGATTGGAAGAAAAGAATTACGAATTAATCCATCAAGTCAAGAAATAGATACATCCTATGGTGTTTCTCCCATAAATTGGGGTTTAGTTCATGATGAAACTAAGATAAAACAATATGGTTTTGATCATCATGTTCCAAATCAACAATAAACAAATAATTCCGACTAGAAAATCGAACCAAATAACTTGTTTTTGTTGAAAGCTAACACCGCGCTGGAGAAGTCGATCGTCGATGCTGCTCTCCCGAATCGCCAATCGCCTACCGCCTCTCTGTTCACGCCGCCTCCTGCGTTCAGCGCTGCTGTTATCGCCAAAAAAATTTCGTTCACTTCCTCCCTAGAATTCCCTTCCGTCCGAGAATTACAAGTCCCCCAAATAATACCCGCCAGCCGACCTCTTCTTTCCCTAGTTGCCAGCCCAAAAATTCCTCCCTTCTAAAAACGGGTCCTCCCCTTTTCCAATTCCTTATCTCTCCCCCAAATAATGGGTCCAGATCGGGTCAGTAACTGATGGGTCAGTAACCCATCAGTAACCCCTTCTATGGTCCCCACGTGTCAGACACTTTTTTATTTAAATTAAATGTGAAAGGGCAGTACAGTAAAATGACACTTTCTCATATTTATTGCTTAGGCTGACTTTTGACCGGATCACATCAGCGCCTTCTCTCTCCTCGCAAAACATTTAATTTTCCTTTCCTTAATCTTTAACGGACGATTTCTCACTCGTTTTAAGTCGAAATTTAATTTTTTTTGCACAGCTAGATCAGATTAATTGTGCTCTTCAAAATGATATCCACTTTGATATTTTTTGGACATAAAAAAAATTGTCAGTTATTACCAGTCTATACCATATGGTATTGACTGGTATTGACCATACCATATGGTATGAAAAGAATTTAACACATCAATATATATTACGTTACCACCCAATACCATATGGTATAGTGTGGTAATATCAATATATATTTCGTTACCACCCAATACCATATGGTATAATATGGTAATATCAATATATATTCCGTTACCACCCAATACCATATGGTATAGTGTGGTAATATCAATATATATTTCGTTACCACCCAATACCATATGGTATAATGTGGTAATATCAATATATATTTCGTTACCACCCAATACCATATGGTATAGTGTGGTAATATCACACAATACCATACAATATCATATGGTATAGTGTGGTAATATCAATATATAATTCGTTACCACACAATACCATACATTACCATATGGTATAGTGTGGTAATATCAATATATAGTTCGTTACCACACAATACCATACATTACCATATGGTATAGTGTGGTAATATCAATATATATTTCGTTACCACTGAATACCATATGGTATAGAGTTATAATATCAATATATATTATCTAAAAGAAAAAAAAACAGAAGGAGGTAGAGAAAAAAGATCGCCTTGTGTCGCCTCTCATTTCCTCTTCCGCAATCAAGAACACCAAAATGCCAAAAAAATGAGAAATATCGAAATTGAGGCCAATGAGATGATGAAGAGAAGAAATGCAATGAAAAAGAGTGGCTCCAATTTTTATTCGTCATGAAAAAAAATAAAGAAGAAGAGAAGGGAGCAGATTTAGATCTAAAAATGAGATTGAGAGAGAAAAAGGAAGAGAGAAAGAGAGAGGATCTGGAAAAGAGATTGGGAGAGAAAAAGGAAGAGAGAAAGAGAGAGGATCTGGAAAAGAGATTGGGAGAGAAAAAGGAAGAGAGAAGAAAGATAGAAAGTTGCAGAGAAGTGATTTCTCTTTCCTTCTTTAAAAGTGCAGCCATTAAATACGAAATAAAATAAAATAAAGAATTTAATATATAAACGGACAAAAATACCCTTCTCTACTCAGCATCCGGCCCAACCACACGATTGCCTACCTCTTAGATCTATGGTCCCTATTCATTACTGACATGTCAGTAACCAAGTGGTTACTGACCCTATCTGCTACCCCAAATAATGTGTCCCCAGAGAATTCCACCCAAATCCTTTGTCCCAGCTCCCTCCTCCCGAAACTTCCAAGAATGGCCAATTAATTCCCCCTCCAGCAAGAATTCCTGGCCCAATTATGTGTGTGTCCAAATAAATCCCCCAACCGGTCCAATAATTTCTTTAATTAATCTCAAATGCAGCTGTCCCTTCATCCAACGGGAGTAGGTCAAGAATCCGGTCCAAAGTGGTTCGATCATAGACTTGATCTGTGTTTGACTTGCCTGCTTGTACTTTCACAATTTCTATCTTTCCACCTAAAATATATCAAAATTCTAACACATGATGGTAATGGTCTTACAACCATTCCAGAGTCAGTTGGCCTTAAAACAAGCATTATATGTCTCAAACATATTATGAAATAATCACATTAAGCACATGAAATCAATATGTTTTCGACAATTATCAGAACCCCACACTCAATACGTGCTTGACCCTAAGCAACGACTTAGACAAGAGAACGATAATTGGAGAAACACAACACATACCACAGAGTGACACCTTGCTCAAAACACAAGACCGATGGCACACAAAACACAACATCAACACCAGATATTTATCCTTGCATTCTTGTGATAATCAGTAATTTCTTTCTCAACGAATGAGTTGTGATTTAATGATCATACCATTCACCCCACACTCAAGGTCTTTGCAACCATTTAACATTGACCGACTCCAATCCACAAAAAACTCAAATAGCAACACTCAATTCCGATCGTCGGTAGTGGGTGATTAACAACTTATGGTGCAACAATTATTAGGAGAATCTAACCACATCAGTGAGGTGCATATCTCGTGAGGACAATCTGGCTTACTCACACCAATCATAAGCAATTAACAAAGCATGAGTCTCAAAAACTAATGGGGGAAGCCTTTCGCAAACATGATTTTAACTTTAAGCACATCACTACCTTTTATGACAAGGAGAGACTTTCTCTCTTTCTGATTTTGCTTGCCGAGTGGTCGTATGTAGTACAAGTGTGATTTGTTTCTTACTACCGGTGACCGAGCAAGAGCAATTTCTGCTTCTTAGCACTCGCATAAGGGCTTCTTTTAACTCCTTTTTCTCGGTCCGTGTGGAGGGTCATTGCACATCCTCAAATGACACTTCACTCAACTGGGGATCATACTTGATAAGCAACATCGTACGGTCGCAAACCGATTCTCAATTGAATCATTCCTAATCCCCATGTACAATGAGTGATTGCCTCACACGATTTTGGTATTTTACCCACACTTTAATTGTTATGGCAACTTTCTTATATTTTACTTGTCATGTAGGATTTTCTCACTTATAAAGATACAGTTCACCCCATCATAAAACCTTTTAAAACAGAGAGACTCAATGCAAAGTCAAACGCTCACAACAACTGCAAGTATGCACGGTATCCAAATATGTCGAATGGTCAATGTTCTCCACCTAACTACTTCACCAAAAGTCATTACACTATCCTCACAAAAGAGAATGTTGCTAAAAGAGTTTGCTCATTCAAAGCACATCAAGTCAGTCAAAACATCAAGCCATTGTGAAGAACTATGCAATTCAACACTAGTGGGGGTGATTTTGATGATTTCCTTCAAGCACAAACTCATTTTCAAGGCATCATGGTCATTTACATCATGTTACCACAAGAGTACAATATTTTGTTTTTATTTTTTCTGATTTTTAGGTGTTTTTTAGCCATTAGCTTTGCACAGACAGACTGCACCAACACAGGCAAACTGCATGCAGTTTGGCTGTGCTCAACCCAAATGACAGTTTTTTTTTACCACACGCAATAGGGACAAACAACACTAAGACTCACCACCCCACACTCAGGATGGAACATTGTCCCTAATGTTCAACTCCTAATCTAAACATGCACGGGTTTGACACAACAAAAAAGAAAAAAATAAAGAAAAGAAAACTCACCTTGGGTTGCCTCCCGAGAAGCGCTTGTTTAACGTCCTCAGCCTGACGTTCATGGAGCTTTCAACCAATGGGTATGGAAAGGTATCCAGAATACCCTCCCGAGAAATGATAGAACGCATAACCTCCATCCAACATATGAGTCATCTCTGCAGGGCCAGGTGTGCGAAAATTGGGTATGACCTTCTTAGTTGGCATGTTAGACCCTTTAGTGAGGCGTAGGTGGTAATGCAACGCTTCAAGTAAGTACTCTTCCTGTTTCAATGTCAGTGAAGAAGGAATAATAACAGGACGATTGAAATCCTTACCCAAATATCTATACTTGAGGTGACCTGGCAAGGATTTATGCCCTTGCTTTGATTTCAGAATCTGAGCAGATAGGATAGGTGATAGTTCTTCGGATGGTCCACTATCACAGGAAGATGAATTTTTCCTTTCTCGAGCTCCACTTTCAAAGTCATCAAATGGATCGTGATTATGGTCAACTTGAAAGACATTAAAAATTTCCTCCTCCTTACCTACTCGGAATGTCAACTTGCCACTCCCGACATCGATGAGTGCATCGCCAGTGGCTAGAAAAGGTCTACCAAGAATGAGAGGCACTCCCCTATCTTCTTCCATCTCTGGAATTACAAAATCTGTTGGGAGAATAAACTTCCCCACATTCACCAATACATTCTCCACCACTCCCTTTGGAATTTTCACTGATCGATCGGCCAATTGGAGAGTGATCCGAGTAGGCTTAAGAACATCTCCCAGTCCCAATTTCTTGTAGACTGAGTATGGCATCAAATTAATTCCCAGTGATTTATCGAACTCTGTACCTCCAATGACACATGGAATGGTGAAACTGCCTGGATCATCCCTCTTTTCTAGTAATTTATTCTGAATCACAGCACTACATTCAGTATTGAACGAAGAAAGCTTCTCCGACAACGATCATCAAGATGAATCTCTCATTTCATACACCAATTTACGTTTATTGGTATCGTCAAAACAAATTAATTAATCTCGTTTTCGGTCAATTTCTAATGGCGAGTGAGTTTGGTTGCAATATATGAATTTCAAGTTTGATGATTTCTTCTTATCCAAGACGACGGTTAGTTGGCATCACTCTTCAAGCATAAGAGTTCGACGAGTTTGCATCACATTCTATACCATCACATTACGGGGCGTGTTCTTCAAGATTGGCGTATGTTGGTCAAGATTGATGTTGTTCTTCGCACCATCATCATGCAGGGGGCTTGTTAGAGATAAATTAGGAATACTCTTATATTTTCTTATCCTTTTAATATAGTTCTTAGTATTTTCATATCCTTCTAGTATTATAATTATAGTGGTTCTCTTACTTAATTTTCTTTTGAACATAGATTCTGGTATGGTTCCTTAGATGGGTAGCCATTGTTAGATTTCCCAATCAACAACTTCTTATAGTATTTGCATTTAGCCTTCACGACACTATTCAATCGAACCTGGGTATAGTGGGCCCAAACATGACTTTTAAGCTTACCAAGATCAATTACCTCCTCAACATTACTATTTTGCTGGTTCGTAGGAGCAACTATTGTTGGGATAGTCTCCCCATTTTTATTGTTGCTATTGATTGCAGGTGCAACCATAGATCTGTTTGCACCATTGCCATTAAAGTTGAGTAGCAGTAGTTGGTTCAACTACCTTGACCATACAGAGAGATCAATTAGTAAGAATGTAAGAGCAAGATTAATTTAAGGACCTCAACAAACAGAGAATGAAATTTCAATTACCTTGACCAGACATAGAGAACAACGGCGAGAATGAAAACACCACCCAGGTAATACACTTGAAGCCTCCAACCCCTTGTGGACAACAATAATATCTCGTATTCACAGAGCCACTGATTAAATCAGTAAGAAGATGAAATTCTGAAGTCGATAACCAGAACTAGAAGGCAGAAGCAGAGAAGCTGAGTAAGATCGAAGACTGTAGACTGAGAATGAACATAAAATTACCACCTACCTCGTATTTAGATGCAGCTTCAACATTCCAGTTGAATCGACTTCTCTGATTTCCCGACATGCAATCAAAGGAAAGGATTGCATTGAGAGAAAGAAAGTGATCATCACCATCGGGAAGGAAATAAGATAATCAATGGAAGGACAGAAGATAATCAATGGAAGGAATTAGCCAATTAGGAATGAAGCTGTTGGAGATAAGTTAGGAATTTGAAGCAATATCTGCGATTTTTTAGGCTAAGTATCAAATAGTCGAGGGCGAGAGGAGAGTATGAACGAGAATTGGGGCTAGGGTTTCGTCCATTTCTGAAAGGGTATATATATATGTGGTGCGGAATCGGGGCAGATACTATTAAGTTCAATCCCCGCCCGTCACCCGTCACTACGTATTTTGGGTTAATCCGAGCCCGACCCGACGCTCAAATGAAATTTGACCGCGTTGACCGGGTCAAATCAAATGGGTTCTCGGGCTTCCGGGTACAATTCCCATGCCTAATTCAAGCCAATAAACTCGGCCATTAAATCGATGGTCATGGAGCCCAACAAGTAATAGCTTCTCATCCTACAATAGATGCATTTTAATAATATATTGTTTGGTTGATGAGATTCTGCTTTATGTATTGACTAACATAAAGTTATTTTATGTGAAAATGTCACATTTATCCTCAACTTTTAGTATAAGATAAAAACTAATAGAGATAAAAATGGAAAGAAAAAGTGGGCACAAATCTAAAATCTAAAATCAACAATCTCAACAATCTCAACTAAATTGTATAATGCATCATTTTTTGTGATTGTTGGTGGGACCTACCTAAAATAATACATGCATTGTTCTACACTTTGACACTTCCAAACATTGTATTGTGGACAATGCATGTATTGAATAAACACAACTCTAACAATCACAACTACCAAACGACCCCTAAGTAATAACTAACTAACTAACTAACATAATCTTGTTAACAATCCAAACAATGAAAAGTGAAGGGAGAGTTGAGGAAAAAGAATTGAGTTTTGATTTGGGTAGCCATCCAATTACATTTCTACAAAATATTTTCTTAAGTTACCCTCACTATTATAAATAGGTTACAATTTAATCAATGTATTTTTTATATTTGAAGAAATTATGCTAATGGAGCGGGAAATGCTAAAATCATACCCGCCTCATAAGTTATACCTACCAAACATTTTGCGGGTTTTACCCATACCCTTCTCATACCCGATCAAAGCGGGAATTTCCAACGTTGACTGGGTCGACGACGGACGGATACCCACGGTCATGGTTTGATTGCCATCCGTATTCCGGAAGCACAAGTGCACAGCTGTCCCTAATTCTGATTGATCCCTGATTCTGAACGACTGTCCTAGGGCTTTTGCTTTTCCTCTTCTTCTTTCTTTCCTCCTTCCTATTTGGAGAAATAGTTTCCTCTCCTTTCTCGCATCTCTCATCGGTCGCCTTCGATGGCGACACCTTCCGTCTCTAATGCCGGCGCTCCCGCCACCGGCCACTCACCCCGACAATCAACCGTCGCTCTGGTGAAGGTCGAAACCGTTTCAGGATCACCGCCGCAAGGCCAATTGCAACCTCCGAACCCCCATGTCAAATCCGAGCAGGTCGAGGTAAATGGCCTCCCAATTGTTACATTGCCGCCGCAGCAACCCGAGCAGCAGAGGTCTCGGGTTTTGGAATCAGTACAAAGATTGTGCAATCTATCTTCCGCTATTCTAGAATTCAAGAGCAGGTTCGACGAATTGGAGAAGCACCTCGATTTGGTCCGGACTGCTATCGATAGTCACGAGCAGCCAAATGGTCAAGTCGACGGCGAAGCTGTGGCGCTCGTGCCTTCGGGGGCAGATGGCGCTGTTCCGGCGAGTTCTGAGCTACTGAATCTCTGCGAGGCGATGTGCGGCAAAAGCCTCCGCAAGTATATCATCACTCGCCTAGACAACGTCCAGAAGCTTCGTGAAGAACTTCCATCGGCTCTTAAATCAGCTCCGCAACCGGCCAGGCTTGTGTTGGACTGCATTGGGAGGTTCTATCTTCAAGGAAGCAAAGCTTACGCCAAAAACTCTCCAATGGTTCCAGGGAGAGAAGCTTGCGTTCTAGCTCTGGAATTGTTCTTGTTGATGACTGAGGGCGAAGTCAAGCTAGAGGAACATGTGAGACAAGAGGCTGTTCAGGCTGCTATGAACTGGAGAAAGAGGCTTGTAGTGGAAGGTGGCATTCGCAAAGCTAGTGACATTGATGCCAAGGGTTTGCTTCTGTTTGTTGCGGCTTATGGAATTCCCAAGCTCTTCAAGAATGAGGACATTTGGGATCTGGTTCTCGCTGGTAATGCTGGGCAGGTTGCTGAGGCTCTTCGAAAGTCCACTGTTCTGGTGTCCAGAGTTACAGGTATCCTAGTTTTGTTCTTAGCTTCAAATATCTGCTATTTACCTTGTGTGTAACTTTCACTCCACTGCTTTCTGGAGTCTGCTGCTACAAACTGAGAAAATGTGTAAATGAGGTTTCTTGACCGGTGAACATGTAAGCGTTTGGGTTTTAGATGAACTACATTCGTGAATCTATACTGCTGGAACTAAATGCTAATGGTGGATACCGTGAGCAAAGCTGCATAGTGCACATTGTGTGCATAGGCACAGTTGAGAGTGCACGTTGTACAGGTCCTAATGTCGAAAGACCGGTGCCTGTTTTACGAAAGCTAATGCCGGGATATATAGAATAAAGAAAGGTGCATTAGTTCTATTCTTAATGTGATTGTGGTTCATGCTACCATAGATTGAATGTTGATGGTCATCACTTAGCATATAACGGAGGAGGTTAAGATGTTTGGATTTGCTCAATCGACCGAGCTTTGTAAGTTTAGGGGCATGTATACAGAGTCACGTCCCAATCATTCTTCCATATCAAATATTCTAAGGTCAACAACAGCATATCATGTGGAGAATTCACTAAAGGGAAAGTATCTTAAATGGGTCAGAGAGTTCACTGTTGCGAAGTTATCATGAATTTATGAAAGTATGTAGTCAGTGGACTTGCTACCATGCTTGTGTTTGGAAATGGGAGTTCGGCGGTTTTCCCCCGTCCTGGTAGCTTTAACTGGCTTTAGTACCATGTTTTGATCTTTATTCAGGTAATTCGAATCACAGTTAAATGAAAATGAAGTCTCATACTCATGTGTTCTATGGATAATTACAGAAATCATAGCACAGGCGATGACCAGTGCGACAAAACAAAATGCCAAACTCGAGGCTGTTGATGTGGCATCTAGTTTCGGGATTGATGACAAGTTTCCTCCTCAGAAGCTTCTGACTGCATACCTTCGGGAATCGAAAGAAGCACTAAAGAAGAGAAGAAGGGAAGCCAATAGTTTGCCCATGCTGCTGGTACGTACTAAGTTTCTTTTCATTTAAACAAATGATTTTACTTACTTTTCGCCCTCGCTGTGTTCAGAGTACATGACTCTAATTACCACAACTATCACTGCAGAAACAGGCAAATGACCGCCACTTGTCTTCTCTGGCATCTGTGATGAAGTTCCTCGAGGACCGCAAACTCGATCCTTTGAAAGTTGTTCCCGGATGGCAACTTACAGAGAAGATAACCAAGTTGGAGAAAGAGAATGCTGATCTAAACAAAAAAATTATGGACAAGGCGATGATTAAGAGGAGAGCTGATTTGAATGATATAACGACGAATCAAGCAATGAAGCGGCCACGAGGGATTGGTCAAGGAGCATCCACTGGATCCGCTAGCATCGGGGGCTTACATGAACACAAGGCTGCAGCTGCAGCCCCCTACATGAGCCCATACAATAATAATACCTCATTGAGGGTAAACCATCCCCTGGGTGCTTATGGAGGAGATACATATCCTTGTGCAACTTCAGCACCTCTCTATTCATCTGCAGGTGTGCCTGAAAATGCTGTAATGCATGGTGGTGCAGTGAATCATCATCAGGGTGTATACAATCTTCCCACCACAAGTGCTTCTGCTGGGAATGTAGCAAATGGCCTTCGGTGGGAGACAGTGGTCGACAGGGCTGGGCACATGGTTGCAAACAACAGCAGCTTGGCATACACAGCACAAGGTGGACAGAGTTATGTTAGTAGGCATGGTACTTATGGGCTGTTCGGGCCATCGCCTTCGATAGAGGGGTTTCCTGGACTGCCGAATTCGCCACCACCAGGAGTTGGTGCTGCTACTGCCACCAATCCAGCAGACTTGTACCGTTTTGCAGATTCTGTGGTCGAAACCGAGTATAACAGTAGGGGTGGATGGTGCCATCAGTAGCCAGACCATTAACGCTGTACCTTTTTACCTGTCCTCTGGGTATGTAATGTTAGTGCAGCGCAGTCTGCATAGATCCCTCATTACTAATAAGTAATATATTTTTCCCCCCCATAGATGACTGGTTTTGATTCAAACTTGACGCGATGTAAATTTCGTGCTCGTTGCTTTAAAGTGACCGGTAGGTTGCAAGGAGAAAGGTGTAAAATTTACGGTGTGCCGGACAGGAATGTTGCACGCACCATCACTCTTTTTATTTCCGACTTCTGGCGACTGCAACATTGTATTCCAGTCATGACTCCAGTTAAGGAGCCCTGCAATGGGGATTGTTCTGCAGGCATAGGACTCTGGAAGCCCAATGTTGTCATAGTCGAACTCCAGGATGCAGTAGATCATGAGTCCGATAATCCTATAAGTCTGCACCTAGGCAGAATCCATAGATGTTTCAGCTTCCGCTTATCGAGGACTCCAGTGACCGGAAGACGGGAGAAATGCTGGTAGCTCTTGATTGCACACTCCAGGTTCTCATCGAACACCTCATCATCAAAATGACGCAAGATGGAGCGCGCACACGTTAACATCTTGGATTTCAAACTCTTCGAGGAAAACTAAAAAAAATGCGATAACGGTATAGCTTTATTACTACTAACATACTTCTTATTCGCATATAAAAACGTAGACCAAATATACATATTCATAGTGCTAATCGCACAAACCCTTTCTCCGTTAAACAAGGTAAACAAATCATAACCAACAAGTAATAATAACTTTCTAGACAAGACACAATTAATCATATTAGTCCTAAATAGAGAAGGCAATGAGGCGGGTTTGTGGCGGTTTTGCCTAAACTATTCCCATTAGGAGTGTTCAAATGATGTGGTTACAGTTGAACCGTTTTAACTGATAGTATTTGACTAATTTGGTTTGGTTAATTTGGATAATTGGTTTGGTTAAAAAAGTAGTTTATTTGGTTTAGATGGTTTTGTTGGTTTTATACACTCCTAACCAATCAAACCAAATTAACCAGTTAAATAATTAGTCATATATCTAATATATATTATATACACATATTTAATACTAGGCATAACCACTCAATAGCCAAACATTCCTTCCTTTTAGGGTCATCAATAATAAAGCTCAATATTACTCCTATATTGTATTTTTTATATTTATAAAGTGTAGACCATGATATATGAACGCTCAATTTAGATAAAACTCATACAATATATTAGATGAAAACTTGAAAGGAAGGTCTTTTTCATCCTATGATATTTGCTAATAGACTAATTCAATTCAAACAATCACAACAATTAATTAACTCCATACTATTGACATGTATTTTTGTCAGGTGAATACTTCTATTGACGGTAAGATAATTGTATTAGTTGCATGTATTACTGTAAGGGTTAACTATAAATATGTGTTCATTTAAATGGTTTATTCATCATATAAATTGTGAATTGATGCATTAACCAAAAAATTTCTCACTTAATGATAATGTGATGTTATATTAATCTGATTAACTAGTTAACCAAACTGATTAAACTTTAGTTTGGTTAATTTGGTTGTTGTATCAGCTTGGGCGATATGGTTATGATATTGTATTCTACGGTTAATAGAATTTTGTCTTGTTTGGTTTAGTAATTACCATGATATGTATTCATTTTAACACTCATAATCCCCATCCCCGCTTTGAAATATACAAACCCATACCCACTCCATACCCATTCGGGAAAGGTTTTGCAAACCCATCCTCATACCTGTGGGTTTCGGGTACCCATGTGTAATACATGCCCCGTATATCTAACATTATAATGCCTAAAATTTTACTTTTAAATTTTCAATTATAGAATTAAACGCACCTACTCTATTATGAAGTTGACAAAGAGACAATAATTCTTAATACGAGCCTGGCAAACGGTTTGGAAATGGAGTTGACCTAACAGAATCCATAATTTCTTGTGGCTTGTGTTTCACGACCGTCTGATGACAAATTGTGAATAGAAGAGAAGTAAAATTTGCAGCCCAGACGCGTGCAACATCTGCAACGCGGAACCGAAATCGGATGAACACCTTATTAGACACTGCTTTGAGGCAAAAAAGATATGACAATACTTGGGAATCATTGATAATAGCCTCACTTGCGGCCTTATTTTTCAGGATGGTTGCTTGCTCATCTACAAGACACCAACCATGGGAGGTTGTACGACGTTGCGGCTTGGTACCTATGGAAGCGACACAATGAATGGCTCTTCAAACACAAATGGGAAGAGGCACATTCCTTAGCGTATCGCATTCTGTGTTGTACGAGAACTATTGAGCAACTATGTAGAATGACACTCGTGCGCTGGGAAGGGACATATGGAAACGAAACCAGGAGCTAGCTTGGATACCTCCGCAGGAGGGTTGGATTTCAGTCAAAACAAACGTATCAGTCAAACAACCATATTCAATGACAGTGGCTTGTGGTCTTCTTCGGGATATAACGACAAATGCCTTGGTGTTTTCTTGGCCAATTTGGGAACATGTACTATCACGAAAGCTCGGATCAAGGGAGCTTTACATGAACTCAAAATGGCTAGGGAGAAAGGATATATACATGAAGGTACAACTTCACATTAATTCAATGACAGTTTTCCTATTCCTAAGTTCTTGGGATCATGGGACAAGTAGATTCTTCAATCTTCACTACAAGGTGCATCAGCTTCTTCAAAGAGACTAAGTGGTGATAATCTCTCACACTTATAGGGAAAGGAATTAGGCGACAGATTACCTTGCCAATAAGACTCATTCCCGTAGTTTTGGTCTTCAGAAGATTATTTCTTCGAATCCAGGACTTATTTACTGGACTCTATATGATACTATGGGCATAGCCCAACTTTGTTTAATCTAGTGCCAGGCAGTGGTGCCCTTTAAGCACCACATTTTTCACAAAAAAAATTCATTAATCCATAAGATAGAGTACAATGTAATCCAAATCAGCATTCTCTGACTCTGATGCATCACCTACATAATAACTAACTAACATAATCTTGTTAACACGAGGGAAAAAGTGAAAGAGTTGAGGGAGAGTTAAGGAAAATGAATTAGGTTTTGATTTGGGTGGCCACTCAATTGCATTTCGACTATTTATATTCTTAAGTTACCCTCATTATCATTGATAGATTACAATTTGATCCATTTAATTTTTATATTTGAAGAAATGCTCTTGGTGGGGCGAGTATGGGGTGGGGAGGCTAAATTCATACTCACCCCATACCCATCAACACTTTGCGAGTTTTACCCATACCTGCTCCACACCCAGTCAATGAGGGGATTCCCCGCGTTGACTGGGTCGGGGGCGGTTGGGTACTTGCTATTATGGGTTTGATTGCCATCCCTGGTCCTAAATATAAATCAATAAGAATATCCCAACAATTAATCCTTACAGACATAAATAATAACAATAATAACTAGCCCATGTCGGCTGTATGGTGCATAAATGCATCAATCCTCCCCCCCTTAAACAACCTCGTCCTGAGGCTGCTCTTCAGCCGCATCTCATCCATCGTCGTTCTCCTCAAAGTTTCCAATCATGACGAACACATTTGCGTTAACACAGTGGTGACCATATGTGAAGCTCTCATAGCAATTATAACAGAGTTCATCACGTCATATCTTGCGACTTTTTCCAAAGTTAGGTTACGAATGACACGTCTTGTTGCGTAGCTGGCCCTCGACCCTGTTGTGGTAGCGCCAAGGAGTGTGACATGATGTCTTTTGGTGTCGGCATTGGCGCGGCTATCGCCGCTCCAGTTGATGGCGCACGCTCTAGTCAAATATCTTCCTCATTGATTTTTGCTAAGTTGTATGCTTCCCTTGCATTCCTTGGTCCGAACGCTCTGATGCAGGCCGAAATTCTGGGCTTTAATCCTCCCATATAAGAGCCCATGATGGCTTCTTTGGTCCACCCTTGACACCTGTTCAACAACTTCTCAAAGGCCTGTTGGTGTTAATATAGTAGTAGAGCTAGGGTTAACTTACGTAGAGGCTAGCGAACGCGTGCGTTCACACCTATTATTTGTACTTGGATAATTTTGATGAATCACAACCGTCAATTTTATTTTTGAGAATAAATGAATCTCATGGTTGGGGTAAGATAATTGGGAATAGGGTGGTTCGCCCATTAGAGGTTAGGGTATAGTACCATGCCCCAAACTCCAATTAATTCATGATTTAAATAGAAAAACTCAACGGATTTACAGTAAGGTTATCATACACCCGCGTGTACGCTAGCATGAACCATATAAATACGTGTCGTGTGTGTGTGCGGGCGTGTGCATGTGTGTGTACGGTCATGAAAGCAGGTTAATGATTTTCGATGATAATAATATTAACCGAGAGCTACAACTCTCCGAGGAGAGTTATGTTCACATTGAATAAGGAAACCACGTAAATCATGTGTCTTCTTTTTACAAGATTTTCATGGTTTGATTGACATGGTATCAAAGCATTTGATGCATTATGATAATGACAACATACCTGTGCAAACTCATTTAAGTTCTTGGATTCCCTTCCCACTATGCTCGATGAAGATGATGATTTTGACAGCATGGTGGCCATTCCCTAAATTCCCAATGACGAACTTGGTCCACCTCCTACGACCCCTCAATGCAGTCCGCCACTTATTGACCCTGCTCTTAACATTCCTCGCCACTCTCAACGAACTTCCCAAGAGAAAACATCATCCTATCTATCTCAACATTATGTTACCTATGTTGCAGCTCCACGTGTTGTTCCTCATCATTATTGACAAGCTAAGGAGACCCTAAGTGGGACGCAAACATGAAGCATGAAATTACAGCCCTGTGAGAACAGCGAACATGGGAATTGGTCCCTCTCCCTCCACCTTCTATTCATGTGGTTGGTTCTCGGTGGGTATTCACCATTAAACTTCATTAGGACTGGTATTTGGATTAGTGTAAAGGCCATCTCGTTGGTCAAGGTTTTAGTTGAGAGTTTGGCATCGACAATGAAGCAACCTTTTCCCCTGTAGTTTGTATGCAAATAATTTGTAGTATTTTAGTTGTCACCTCCATTAGATAGTGGTCACTACGGTAGTTGGATGTTAAGAACGCCTTCTTACATGAGGATATGAAGGAAAATGTTTATATGGAGCCACCTCCCGGCTATTTGCACGGTGACACATCTCGAGTGTGACGCCTTTGAAAGTCTTTATACTATCATAAACAAGTCCCACATGCGTGGTTTGAGAAATTGCATGATACACTAAGCCAGATTGGTTTCAATAAGAGTACTAGTGATCCTTCTCTGTTTATCCATCGTACAATTCATGGGATTGTTCTACTCTTTATCTATGTCGATGATATAATTGCCACGTGTAGTGATCAATAAGGCATCTTACTATGTCTCTACAGTCAAGCTTTAATATCAAGGATCTGGGTGAGCAATCCTAGTTTTCAGGATCAAAGGTTCAATGTATTACCAATTGTATATTTTTCACACAACAAAAGTATATTCTTTACATGTTGGAGACCTCTCAATTTGCTGATTGTCTTCCTTTTTTCTACTCCTATGTTGAGCAGGGAATTGAACATAAACAATCATGTGTTGAAACTCCTAAACATAATGCAAGGGTAGAAAGAAAGCATCAACACATCTTAAATATTGCTAGATCTCTTTGAATTCAATATGGACTTTCTTCAAGATTTTGGAGTTACTGTTTATTGCATGTTGTCTGCCTCATTAATCGGAATTCTATCTCAATGTTTGGTGATAAGTCACTTTATGAATGTTTGTATAACAAACCATCCAGTCTTGTTGGTCTGAAAGTTTTTGTCTGTCTGTTTAATGTTACTACCTTACATAGAAACAAAACAAAATTTGACAGGGCTAGACAGTACATCTTTCTTAGTTTTCCCTCAGGCATTAAAGGTTTCAAACTTTGACATAAACTCTCACACCTTCTTTATGTCTCATGATTTCACATTCTATGAAACCATATTTCCCTTTGATACCAAACATTCTACACCTTGTTCTAGTTTATCAAACCCCATCTTCCCTATTATTTCCCTGCCAGTTCTGTTACAACTTCTTCCTAAAATGCCTCCAACACCTCATCTTCAAATCAATTTTCATCTATACTTTCTACTTCTCATTCTCCTTCACCTTCTTCTTCAGCACTGCCTACTGCCTCTAATGTCCAAGCATTGGATGAGTTGTCTGGTTTGTATTTTATAGGGGAGGAAGTTGAGATTGAAGTATTTCCCGATGATAATGATACTGATGAGGATGAATATCTCAAGAAGTCTAGTAGAGCTCGTAGCGTTCCTGTTTGGCATAAGGATTACCATGTTAATATAGCAGCTTCTTGTACTAAACACCATGTCCGACACTACTTCAATTATGAGCAACTTACACCTGCTCAAAGGAATTTTGCTTTGAGTATCATGGTCCATGAAGAATTGGAACCAGTGGCGGACCTAGGATTATTGAAGAGGGGTGCCGCCGATAAAAAATTAAAACAAATAAATAAAAAAATAAAAATTTAATAGAAATTAGTGGAAATTCAGTTATAAGTTCACAACGTCATGTTTACTACGAATTATGACAATTTTTCATATCGTGAGATTTTTTTAAAAAATAAATTCATCGTTTATGTTGCAAATCAAACCTTTTTCAATATACACAACTACATAATCATTCATACATTAGTCACTCAACCAAAGAGAATCGACCTACGTCTAAAATCAAATTAAGTTAAAATAAATTAGTTTGCTACCAATCGCCAATTTTAGAAAAAAACAAAGTATGCCTAAAGTAATATCATTAGCATTTTTTCTCTAGTTCTACCAAAATCAAACCACAATCTCCCATAAATATACGCAATTCACCTATTAACTACAAATCGACAAGTTAAATTGGGTTGTGGGTTACTTAAAATAAGCATGCTTATTTGATTTTACTTATTAATTAATTATTAATTAGGATGAATAACTTTATAACATTAAAACTATTGTCGTATAATGAAAGTGTGTCGTTTATAATTATTAGAGCGGTGTCGGAAGTCCCAAGTTAACAAATTTTGTACCGAAAAAATGGAGATCCTTCACAAAATTTTCGGACGGAGGGGTGTCGGACGACACCCCTCTCCTTGCCCTAGGTCCGCCCCTTATTGGAACCTGCCTCATATGCAGAAGCTTGCAAAGATCCAAGATGAAATCAAGCCTGTAATGAAGAGTTGGCAGCATTGTATGAAAAGCAAACATGGGATGTTGTGAAGCTCCCCAAAGGGAAAAGCACTGTAGGAACCAAATGAGTGTTTAAGATCAAATATAAGGTAGATGGAACAATTGAGAGATCCAAAGCAAGATTAGTAGTCAAAGGCTACACTCAGACTTACATTTTAATTTTCTTGATACCTACTCTCCTAGGGCTAAGATTAACTCTGTGAAAACTCTCATGACAGTTGTAGCTTTCAATGATTGGCGCATCCATCAAATTGATGTATCAAATGCCTTCCTATATGGAGATCTCGATGAAGAGGTTTACCTTGAAATTCCATCTAGTGTTGACATTCCTAAAGACTCGGGTTTGGTTTACAATGTATGGCCTTAAGCAAGCCAACAAGCAATGGTTTGCTTAGCTAACTAGTGCCATGATGAAGAATGGTTACTCTCAAACTGCTTAAGATGATTCCATGTTTGTTAGATGGATTCAAGGAAGAGTTGTGATGGTCCTAGTATATGTTGATGACATATTGATTGCTCGTAGTCATCTTGGGTAGGAGTGAAAAACTATCTGGTCCGGTTAAATCAGACCGAATTAACGTCATATAAAACCATCGGTGTTAATGAAGTATGACGGTCGATGACTAATGGTGAAACGAAGCGTAAAGTCAATGACAAATAAGAAAGAAAAATAATTTGAATAACAAACTTAAAAGATTTATTTAATTCGAGTGATCGGAGAAAAAACTCTTGCATCGCAAGAATGGACAAAATACTTCGATGCGGATCCTCAATGACACATGGAGACGGTCGGATCAATATAACGCAGGCGGTCTTTGACCCGATCAGCCTGGATTTGATCAACGGTCAGAAATCTGAATTGGCGCGCGCGCAATTTCATCGTGCAGAACTACTTGTTCTTGCTTCAAACCTCCAATTGCTTGACAGCTAAACCAAGCAGGTGGGTTTTGGCGGCAGAAAATCAGAAGCCAGATTCCATCCTCAGTTTCTCTCCGCATTTCGTTCCCCCTTTGCAGCGTGAAATATCACTGGAAACAAGAAAGAGAGCGAAGGCAACACTGAGAAAAAGGGAAGATCAAGAAAAATCGGCGGCCCTTCCATTCTGAGTCAGCCGTTTATTTGGTCGCCGAGAAAATGGACGACGAGGAAATGGTGATGTTCCAATCAGATTGGTGCTCTCCCAGGCGACTCCACGACAGCCCCACTGAATACCACTTTCCCGTAAGAAAATTTCCCCTTTCCCTTTCTTTCTAATTACGCAATGATCCCAGTTCACAGTTTCCTCCATACTTTCTCCCCTGTTTGTTTGCCAAGAAAGATTCTGGGTTCTTATTTGCATTACCTTCTCTCTTTTTGTTTCCTTGGATAAGGCTGATCGTTACATCCCCAACAGAAGCTTGATGAATCTTGATCAAGTCCGTAGCTCCTTCACAAACGGAACCAGACCACTCTACAATCCCAAGTTCAGTGTAAGTTCTGGGTTCTGGTATCCTAATTTCCTCCGCCCTTTCACTACATTGGAGGAATTTCCAGGGTTTCTAATGAGTAATATGGCATTCTTTTTGTTTCTTCCAATGGAGGCAGGATCTTTACAGGAGGAGGTTATCAGATAGCCTAACTCTGGACTCAGAAGGGAAACCCTTGAGGATGTTGGTTTTCAGAGGAAGCCCCAAATCCAGCCGTAAACCTCTTCGTTTCATCGACCAGATGCGACAGGAAGACGCAGCGGTACTCTCTCGTGTTCACCAAACCCATCAACCTCGCCGTTTGCCCAAGGTTTTCCGTTGCTCTCGTACACGCTTAGCCTGTCTCATGTTTCTCATCATTGCTAACGAGAAATTTGGTTTCTTTTGCAGAAAGAAACGAGGATCCTGGACGCTCCAAGCATCAGGAATGATTACTACGGGAGCATAATCGACTGGGGCAAGAACAATGTGCTCGCCATTGTTCTAGGGAGAGAATTGTATCTCTGGAACTCCCTGAACCAATCAGTAACCAAGTTGTTGGACGTTGAGCAGATTAGCATCAACGATGACCACGACCGCCCCATCAGCGTAGCTTGGTCGCAGGATTCGAGAAGCTTGGCGGTTGGTTACATGTTCTCCAAGCTGCAGCTCTGGGATGTCGAGACTTCCAAATGCGTAAGCTACTAAGATCTCGTAAGAAAACCGCCTAATGTTCACCACATGTGGGAATTGTGATTGACTGAATGTTTCTGTTTGCTAAGGGTTTGTTTCAGATTCGAAGCCTGCAAGGGCATACATCGAGGATTTCAACGATTGCCTGGAACGGTCATACTGTAACATCAGGAAGTCGAGACAGGTCCATCACGAACCATGATGGTACACTGCACGCAAACCTGGCTGACTTGATTTTGATGTTCATATTGTTTTTCTTTAGTTAATGTTTCGCTTGGTGACACGGAACAGTGAGGGCAGGCAGCAGCCCGATTTCGTGCATAGTAAGGCACACAGATGAGGTTTGCGGGGTGAAATGGTCGGGAGGAGGCAACTTGCTTGCGAGTGGTGGGAACGAGAACTCGGTCTACATTTGGGAAGCTTCAAAGATGAGCTCGTCCAAATTTCTGCACCGCTTCACCGAACATACAGCTGCTGTCAAAGCTCTCGCATGGTCTCCTTACCAATTCGGGGTACTTGCCTCAGGAGGAGGAACAAATGATAGGTGTATCAAGCTTTGGAATACTCAGAATGGAACCCGCTTGGCAAGTGTTGACACTCAAGCCCAGGTAGGTGCATTTTTCCATTTTTTTGGTGTTTCATTGGAATAGCAGAACAAAAGCTTGCTGATTGATAGTGAGATAAACTTTGCCAGATATGTGGACTGGAATGGAACAGACATCATAAGGAGATCCTAGGTGGGCATGGATATGGCACCGGGGCGCTCAGAAATCACCTGTCCTTATGGAAGTACCCCTCCATGGAAAGAGTTGGGGAGCTTAGAAATCATAACTCAAGAATAATCAGTCTCTCTCAGGTTTTTCTGAGTTGCCATTGGGGGTTTCTTGTTGGTAAAGCATGGAGCAGGGTAATTACTCACCTTTTTTCTGGTTTTTTGTTGCAGAGTGCTGATGGATTAACTGTGGTTTCAGCTGGCGCGGATGAAACTCTTAGGTTCTGGGAGATCTTTGGGCCACCATGTAAGGAGAAGCTTTCAGATCTTGACAGCCTTCTATCTCTCAAAACATCTCCGATGAGATAGATAGACAGCTTTTTGAACTGAACCCAGTATTGGTTACAAAGGTCACCTGTTTGCCTATTCCATTGTAAATTACTGCCTATCAATAGAAGGTTATAACTGTGAATAGACGTCAGAAAGTGAAAAGGAAATCAAAGATTTTGGGGATAAAAGCATCTCATTGAAAATGTGATGGTCCTCACACAGCCATTATGTGAAATACAAAAGTACTAATTGTCTGTGTCGTCCTGGTCATCACTATCTACATACATCTCTACTGGTTGGCTGTCACCAATATAACCTTCCTCTCTCTTAGATGCTCGAGCTTTTGCAGCTTCAAGTCTCATTCACTGCTTCCAACGACACGAACTTCTCTATGAAAGTGGATATGTAGTCAGGTCGTCGATTCTGCGTGGAGACCACTAGGAGTTTAGAATTCAAGTCACGAGTGGCAAAAACTAAAAGAGTTGAAAGAGTAGTCTACCTCATCCGCCAGATTGTACCTGGAGGTCAAGGTAGTAAGCATGCTGTTGAACAAAAATCAGAGTTGAAGCAAGTAAGTTGGAGCTAAACATATTTCAAGTTAAAACATTGCAGAAGGATGGGTAGGGTTTCGATGATTACCTCCCAAACATAAATAGTCAGAAGAGACTGCAATGGATTAACAACAAGAAGATCACCAGCAGTTGTGTGAAACCATGAAGCTAGAAATATATCACAAAAAAGGTACATGTAACATACATCATAATCCCAAACGAGGGGGTTTACAGCATTTGTAGTCTTCACGACCCCAAGCTTTTTGTCCTCCATTGGAATAGGTTCACTGCATTTTCAACATCAAGCCTGTTTGCGTTGTCTGGTTAAAGTAAAACTATGTCAACAGAAGAACAGAGAAGAAGCCACTTCGGCATACCATGACAAGGAAAGCGAGGAAATAAAGGGTCACCAACCCCATCCAGAACCAAACTGGGTGGATGCAGCTGCACTGAACTCTTGCACAAACTTTTCGAAAGAACCGAAGTCCCTTTCGATTAACTTCATAAGCTCTCCTGATGGATTTCCTCCACATCAGGGCTTCATGGACTCCCAGAACAACTCATGGTTCCAAGCCTGGGCTGCATTTTTGAAAGCTGGGAGCATATCTCCTTTGTTGTATGTAGTAACTACAACATCTCCCAGTGACAAGCGTCTGTCCCATCGATTTCCTTGTTGAGGTTATCTACACAAGCCTTGTGATGCTTTCCCCAGTGATACTCAAATGTGAGCTTGCTCATGTGTGGCTCAAACGCATCCTGCCATAAGAAGAAACATTCAACAAAACCCTGAACCAGCAAAACCGTGGAAGTCGGCTGATTTTGTCCAGGGTTGTTGGTTACCATAGGATATGGAGGAGGATTGAGCTCGAATTCCCTGCTATTGTAACAGGGCATGCCATTATTCTTGATCGCCGCTGTATCAGTAGAACGCCATATGTTCAAAAGGGAGGTGATACGAAGGGGAAAAGGAGGTAGCTGGGCATGGACGATCAAGCATTTCGTTCGAACAATACATATGCACATCACACATCCGAAACAGGGAAAAAACCAAAAAAAGTTTGGCAATGGAGTGAGTGATGAAGAACCGAAGAAAAAGCAAGCGAACCTTGTGTCGGGATGACAATCCACAAGTTGCGACTACGTTCGACCCTGTAGGTGTAACGCAACCAAGTTTCACAGCGAGCGAATCAGAAAGTAGCAGCAAAGATGAGAGTGTACAAGATAACGGGAAACGGGAAGGTGCGCAAGGGAAGAAGAACATTGTCTTGGAAGCAGAGAAAATTTCAGAGCAGGAGCAATAGCCATGGGAGCAACAGTGGCAGCCATTTTCTGCTTTTTCGGTTCGCTGTTGTTCACTGCTTCTCCAGCCTTTGTTTTCGAATTTGATAACAAGTTCGTTTACTAGAGCTAGACAAAACACATTGAAATCAAACATCAATTATTGTTGCTTGTGCATATTTTGGGTGAATTGCAAGTTTGGTCACTCATATTATCTATTTGTAACACTTTAGCCACCTGAATCATTTTCTCTTCAATTTGGTCACCAACACTACACATTTATGTCATTCTTGGTCACTTGCCGTCTATCTCCGTTAAATATGTTCAAGGTGGCAGTCAACTCTAACGTTTGACAGTTAAAAAGCTGACGTGTCAATTAAAAATTATAAAAAAATTACTTTTTATTTCCATGTCATACTAGAATATAATAGATATTTATTTTATTAAAATTAAATTAATATAAATATATTAATAAAGAGAGCCCTTGCGTCGTCCTCCCCTCTCCGTCTCGCACTTCGCCGCCATCTCATCTATTCTTCCTCTTCTTATTTTTCTTTCTGTTCCGACGAAGCATTCCATCAACAGGGAAGCGGAAGCAATAACCTCCCGGCCCCGCTTCCTAAATTTGCTGCTTCTCCGGCGACAACTACACCTTCGCCATCTACACCCACGCCCTCAAATCCCTAATGAACCTCACTCAGCTCCAGCTCAACAACCTCTCCGTCACTAAAGAGTAAAGACGGTGGCAAGGCATTCGGCCTCCTCGTCTGCCTCGCCTCCGACCGATTCTCCACTCCACTCTCCTCCTCATCGGCTCAATCGAAGGCTTGATCGGGTGCGGCGTCCAGTGGCTCAATCTATAGCCTTCCTCTACCTCGCCTCAATTCCTCTGCCTCCCACAACCAATCTGCGAGATCTTGAAAGGATTCGTTGGATTGTCAACCGCAACCTTCACATATCTTTGCTCCGCCTTCTTCTTCGAAGACCCGACGAATTTCCTCCTCATGCTGGCTTTAGTCCCCTTCGCGGTTTGCCTCGCCGCCATCTTCTTCCTGCGCGAGATCCCGCCTGCCTCTACTTTGGCGGAGGGGAAGGAAGAGGGAAAGTAATTCTTCGCTTTCAATATTGTCTCAGTGGTAGTCGCTTTCCTCCAGCTGGCCTACGATTTCACCCCCAATCCGATCGTAGACTCTTTCTAGGGTTCGAACTTCGAAGTCACTCTCCTCTTCTCGCCGCTCGCCTTACCGGTCGACAATTTGGTAAACGGATTGAGAATTGCCACCACTAAAGCCGACATTGAGTGGGTGGCTGGGTGCACGGCGCTATTGACGAACCGCTTTTGCATGATTCGACGGCGAGGACAAGGCGGTTGATGCGGCGGCGGCGGTGGACGCCGATGGAGAGGAAACGACGACGAAGGCAGTGATCAGAGAGGGTCATACTATGTGTGGAGTCGGTGGGCTCCCTTTATTAATATATATATGAGTTTTTTATGAAAATAAATATTATTAATTTTAGTATGATGTGGAAATTAAAAACTAATTTTTATTTTTTATGACACGTAAGCTTTTTAACGGTCAAACATTAGAATTGACTGCCACCTAAGACAGATTTAACGGATTTGGACGGTGAGTGATCAAAAATGATATAAACGTGTAATATCGGTGACTAAATTGAAAGGAAAGTGATTCGAGTGGCTAACGTGTTACAAATAGATAATGTGAGTGACCAAACTTGCAATTCACCCTGCATATTTTCAACATGACCCTTAATCGATTTCCCATTGCCAAAGTTGTCGTCTCTATGTTGGACATTCAAGAAGTTATGTGAGAGGGCAGTTTGGTGTCAAAGGTTTCATACTCCAACCTCATGTCCTTCGCCTGAGGAACGCAATGATAGCACAAATGTATTTGCAATCTAACGAAAGCTTTATTGATGAATGGAAGACTAGGGTACTTATACTTTGTTTCAGCCAAAATCACTTGCCTCCACAACGCTAACCACTAACTTAATCACCCTATAAATAAGCTAACACCACTAACAATAGAGGTGGAAACACTCCAGCTCTTAACAACTCGACAGGACTAAAATGACTCAAACAAAAACTTTAAGGATTCATTACATAATAAACCAAACGACGTTGTTCTTCTTATTAATACAGACCAGTTTAAATGCTTCAACCTTGGCGCGCTGACTTCAATCCTTCTCCTAATAGGATTCAAATTTTCAATCTCTGCTGCAAACCAGTCTTCAACCTTCAACAAATCCTCCCCTGAGCTGAACCCCTTCGTACCACAGGTTTCAGCTCACATCTTCATTTTGGATTGTTGATTTCTGCAAGTTCACACACACCAAGTTTGCTTCGCAGAATCTGGAAAGATTCCAACTTCAAAGCCTTGGTCGTGATGTCTGCAACCTGCTTAGTGCCACAATATTCCAATTCCACCGCACCTTCCTTCACTAAGTCCCTGATGAAATGGAACCTGACATCTATGTGCTTGATCCTCCCATGCAACACTGGATTTTTAGACAGCTTGATAGCAGAACTGTTATCACACAAAATGGTTGTCTTACCAGCTATACAAGTGCTTCATCCAATGCTTTCCAGAATCCGTTTCAACCAAAGACAGTAGGCAGCAGCAATGAACTCTGCTTTTGTTGTAGAGAGAGTGACAATTGGTTGCTTCTTTGAGGCCCAAGAAACCGCCACACCGGCAAGAAAGAAGACATACCCACTGGTACTTCTTCTGTCATCCACATCTCCTGCATAGTCACTATTTGTGTAGCCAAGAAACTGATCCTCCCCATCTCCCTTCCTGTACCATATTCCTGAACTGGTTGTTCGCTTCAAATACCTCAGTATCTTTTTAGCAGCTAGCATATGCTGCTTCGTGGGAGATTCCATAAACCTTCTCAACAAACATACTGAGTACATCACCTCTGCCTTGTTGCAGTAACATACAACAAACTGACAATGAGTTGCTTATATTCTGTTGTATTGACAGAGATCTCATCGCCAGCCTTGGGCAATTTGACTCCAGGTGTAATTGGATTGCTGACAAAATTGCACTCAGACCGTCTGAATTTGGCCAACAGCTCCTTGATGTACTTCTGCTAGCACACAAATATCCACCTTTAGTTTTAATTACCTCTATGCCAAGAAAGTACCTCATTCTCTCCATATCAGTAATTTCAAACTCAACATCCATGCTCCTTTTGAATTCTGCAATCATGTTTGGACAATTGCTTGTATACATCACATCATGAACATAAAGAATGACTATGAGGATGTTATTCCCAGCCTTCTTGATGAATAGAGTGTGTTCGTATG